ATATCATAAACTTCAAGTGCATAGCTATATATAGAGCAAAATATAGAGCATGCTTTGTTACTGAAAATCTGTTAATACTATGCCATAGAAGTACACTGTTAATATTATGTCATAGAAGTGCATTGTTAATACTATGTCATAGAAATCATCTCAGTAGCAGGGTATGAACAGTATAACAACTGTTCATACCACTTACTGGAAGTTAACAACTACGTCATTTCATTTGCATAATAGGTACAATAAAGAATCCAAACAGTACACAAGCTAAGAAAGATGCCTACTTGAGTGAATTCATTGAATTGTAATCCTAATCAATGACCCAACTAACATGCTTGAGGAGCGAAGAATGAAGAATCAAATTGAATCACCATATCACCATTGCCAATTCAATCATACACTAAGCAAACACATAAATTAACAACAAAAAATTATGAGAAATTAAAAATTTCACAGTAACCTCTAAGACCTTTTGTGTATGAGAGCCTGAGTAGTTCTTCAGAATCTCTCTCTTGACGGCGTATCCATACTGAGATCGATGAATTTTATCCAACGATCAATCCAAGTACGATCCCTGCCTTCTTTGGTATCCATACTGAGATCTATGAATTTTATCCAACGATCAATCCAAGTACGATCCCTGCCTTCTTTGCCAGACTCATTCCTCCAGAGGAATTCTTCGTTCCGTCTCCGTCTGCATTGAGGTTGCTGTGGTTGACATCGCTCGGATTCGACGACGTTGGAGAAGGAATTAAAAAACTACACGGGCATGATACTTTCATATTTCCTGAAACCCTTAAGGTCATTAGTTCGAAGGCGCAGAGATATCTCCTCCTCGTGGTTCTACAACAGCAACCAAGTGTCAATAAGAAATTAAAAGAAAAGAGAAAATACTATTGCCACTAATTTCATCATATATTCTGATGTTTAGAGTGTGATTACCTTATTAAAGCTGAGGATGCATTTGGGACTTATGCCAACATAACCAACAGGGGCCATCTCAGTCATGATTCCCACACGCCAACTATGCTTTAAAAAGAACAATGCAAAGATAAATTATCAGCAGGGACATAAAAGTATACCAAGGAATCATATGCACAACATACTGGACAATCTGTTTATACAAGTGTGAGAATATGCATTCAATGATACCTTGTTCATGACAGAAATAATTCCAGGATCTGCAGCAAGCATGTGCATTCTTTTCAATGCCTCTGACACCGGAGGGTTCAACTGCAGACAAGTAACAAGAAGTTGAAGTTAAAAGCCTCTACCAAAAATTGATAATTGCAATATCTTCACATTTCCTCATACATAATTTTAGAATACCTCAATTCCTGGAAGTTGAAATGTTCGGAAATCACAAAATATATAAGGTCCTTGGGAAGTTTCAGAGTATGAGGCCTGTATGACATTCGCTGCCTCAATCTCATTTCCTCTTCATCAAATCCAGCTATCCTTAAGTTTGACTTTGCATGTTGTAAAACTTCATCAACCTCATGTTCAGACACTCCCATCATTCTGATGGACTTTCCCTGAACAAGAAGAAAAGCAATCAGTTATCATGCAAGAACTCAGAAAGTTCAGTCATAGAAAGTTAACACTAAATAGTGTTTTAAACATTAAAATCACAAAGAACCTAGATCACTGAGAATCTAAATCCAAGAACAGTAATTATCAATTTTTCTTTTCTTTTATTCAATTTTCTCAGTAACCAAACATTAGATAGCATACACAAACAGAGCCAAACAAGTCAACAACAATGAGAAAAACAAGCATAATGAATTCTAAATCTCTAATTCCAAATATTATATCATTCTAAAATAGAAAAAGCAATACAGCAATGACTCATATTGACTAATTAAGTATTTTACGCCAAGAACTCATTCCAAAATTATGACTACCGCCAACTCTACCATCGTCGGCGCTCCAAAGAATGAAGAATCAAATTGAATCACCATATCACCATTGCCAAAATCTCAATTCAATCATACACTAAGCAAACACATAAATTAACATCAACAAAAATTTACGAGAAATTAAAATTTTCACAGTAACCTTTAAGAGCTTTTGTGTATGAGAGCCTGAGTAGTTCTTCAGAATCTCTCTCTTGGCGGCGTATCCATACTGAGATCTATGAATTTTATCCAACGATCAATCCAAGTACGATCCCTGCCTTCTTTGCCAGACTCATTCCTCCAGAGGAATTCTTCGTTCCGTCTCCGTCTGCATTGAGGTTGCTGTGGTTGACATCGCTCGGATTCGACGAGGCTAGAGAAGGAATTGGAGGTGTGTCGTTGGCCGACGGAGATGATTGCGGTAGTGTCGAAGATGAAGAAGGATGGTGCGTTCATTGGAGCGTCCGACAGAGATGGAGGAAGGGAAATCAGAGATAGAGTTTTGGGTGAAGGTGAATCGGCGACGGGTTGTGGTGATGGAGTCGGCGAGGGCTGTGGTGGAGATGATGAAGATTAAATGGGAATTGGACTAGGAGAAAAGCCAGAAGCAGAGCTCGATTGTTGAAGAAGAAGAAGAAAGTTTGAGATGTATGTTGATGAAGATTGAGTTGATTAATAGACAAAGCAAAAGGGCAAAACAGTAATCCAACATAGCTGTTGAATTTCAAAAATCGACAGCTGTCAATTTTTGGGTGTATTTTTGGTGTGTTTATATATATTGAATGATGTAGGGTTTCTTTATAGAACTATGTCTAGAAATGGGTATTTAACTAATTTCCTAATTCTTTTATTTATCCAAAAATTCTTGTTAGTAGATTATTAGCGAGGAAATATAAAAGAGTGCAAATTATTTGTATCATCATTCTTGTTTGTTTTCAAGATTGGGGCAAAGATTATATGACCAATACTGGAGCCGTGTTTATTTATCCAAATTGTATTTAATTGCATTTTTTTTTTCCATGTAAGTTTATTATATCTATATATATAAAGCAAAAAGCAGAGAATGGTGAAACATTCAAAATACCAAAAAATGCCCTTGGTTAATGCAAACATTAAGAATTGAAATTATTAATTAAGTGAGGATAATATGGTAAATTTACACTTTTTCATATTAAAAAAATTTAAAATTAAAAGAAAAATCAAATAATGGATCCTCTTTTTATGGAACACAACTACCCATTATCTTTTTTAATTCTAAAATAAATTTAATTTTTTCTTTTAAAAAGCCTCTCACAGGCGCGTAAGCGCATGCAAAGAGGCTAGTTTAGGAGAATGAAAAAGAAATGAGCCTCATTTTCATTTCTAGCCTGGGGCCACCCAAAAGTCATGGGCGGCCTGATTAGAGTATGGGGATGAAGATTCTTCTTTTCATTTTTTTGGTCTGAGGGGATGAAGATTCTTTGAACGTGTGGAACCGGTGGAAGAAACGAAATCGGTTACGTCCCTGCTTACCTTGAGTATTTGACAAGACTTTTGATTCAGAAGTTTTGAATGATTGGTCAACGCCGTGAGTTAACGGTCTTAAGAAAAAGCATCAATATAAATTGCGCGCCACGCATATATTTTTCGAGGTGTACTTCCACCAAAAGGCAGAGCCTTCCAAAATTACAGAGAGAGACTTCAATCAATCAATAATGGCAGATCCAGTCAACAACAAAACCTCTCGCCACTCTCTCCTCCCAAGCTTCCTCTACTCTTCATCTTCTTCAATGGTGGCATCAGGTTATGCATCATCAACACCGTCATCAAGGGTGGTGATTGCAGCGCCTAGAGAGAAGGTGGAGATGTACTCTGCTGGGTTCTATGCGGCGTGTGGAGTTGCAGGTATGCTGGCCACTGGCGTAACCCATTTGGCCGTCACACCTATCGATGTCGTCAAGTGTAATATGCAGGTCAAGCTTTCTTTCCTTTCCTTTTGGTTTTTTTTTTTGGTTTCAAAATATGCAGGTCAAGCTGTCCTATAAGTTGGGAAAAAAAGGGTAATGCCAGGCTTACCACATTTTATTTTATATAGAGAGTCTTGACAAAAGTCACACCTATCGATGTCGTCAAGTGTAATATGCAGGTCAAGCTTTCTTTCCTTTCCTTTTGGTTTTTTTTTTTTTGGTTTCAAAATATGCAGGTCAAGCTGTCCTATAAGTTGGGAAAAAAAAAAGGAGTTTAATATTTTTTAAATACATTTTTCTTTCATACAAGCGATAGTAAAAACTACTCTAAATTGATCCAATCTACGAAAAAATGGGATTCAAACTTGCGTGTAAGGGGCGAACTCACCGCCTTGGCCAACTTATCTAGCCTTAGTGTTACATTTTCTGATCACATTAGTCGATCACACAAATGATTGAGTAGTTAATATGTATCTATTACATCAATTAGCATGACCAAGCTTTAATTACCAAGTTATGTCTGTAGAAATGTCATAGCATTACTTATGTTGTTTCTGAACTCATTCAATGATGCCCCAATTTTGTTCTTCATTTTATTTTCTATAGAGTCTTGACAAAAATTATGTTGCTGATATTAACAATTCAGATTGACCCAATTAAGTACAAGAGCGTCACATCCGGATTTGGAGTTCTGTTGAAGGAGCAGGGCATCAGAGGTTTGTTCAAGGGCTGGGCGCCCACCTGGATCGGCTACAGCGCCCAGGGTGCCGGAAAGTATGGCCTCTACGAGTTTTTCAAGAAGTACTACACAGACATTGCAGGCCCAGAGTATGCAGTCAAGTACAAGACCTTGATCTACCTTGCAGGCTCTGCATCAGCTGAAGTCATTGCTGATGTTGCCCTCTGTCCCATGGAAGCTGTCAAAGTTCGTGTCCAAACCCAGCCCGGCTTTGCCAGAGGCTTGACTGACGGGCTTCCAAAGATCATCAAATCCGAAGGCGCTCTCGGGTTTGAATTCGAATCCTTTCAAATTCTTTTGGTTGTTGTGTTTGAAGAACTTTGGTTTGATGATAACTTTCACTGTGTTGCAGGCTGTACAAGGGGCTTGTTCCACTTTGGGGACGTCAGATTCCTTGTAAGTTTGAAAGGTTTCCCTCATCTCATTTGGATATTTTGATGCACTGAAATCAAATTTTAACATTTTGGGATTTGATTTCTGCAGATACTATGGTGAAATTTGCAGCGTTCGAGAATACAATCGAGCTGATGTACAAGCATGTCATCCCAACACCTAAAGAGCAATGCAGCAAACCTTTGCAGCTGGGGGTGAGCTTTGCCAGTGGATATATTGCTGGTGTATTCTGTGCTGTTGTCTCACACCCAGCTGACAACTTGGTCTCTTTCCTCAACAATGCCAAGGGAGCAACTGTTGGTGATGTGAGTTTTTATATATAGGCATGCAGAACATAAACCCCTTTTTTGTTCTTTCTTTCTTTCTCTATGCTCAGTTTTTTTGTTTTCATTGCTGATGTCTTGCAGGCTGTGAAGAAGCTAGGGTTATTAGGTCTTTTCACTCGTGGTCTTCCTCTTAGAATATTCATGATTGGAACCCTCACTGGAGGCCAATGGGTTCTCTATGACGCTTGCAAAGTTTTGGTTGGGCTGTAAGTCTATGCTCCCTTCATTTTCCTTGTGATTTTCCATATCCTATGCTTGGAAGCTTCATACTTATCCATGTTCTGCAAACTGCTCTGTTTTCCCAGGCCAACTACCGGTGGTCCTGCTCCCCCCGCCGCCACCGAGCTTGCCAAGGCTTGAAACTGAAGCTGATGGTTTGTATATTATAAGGTACAAATTTTGTTTGTATACTTTTTCTTCATGCCATTTACTGCCCGGTTTGATTGAAAGGGCGATGTTTGGGGTAAAGTTCCCCATGGAGGAATATGTAACATAAAAATAAAAAATTCCAACTGCTTGTACCTTGAATTATGTTAATGGAGATATTCAGTAACAATTAAAAATTCCAACTGCTTGTACCTTGAATTATGTTAATGGAGATATTCAGTAACAATTTTACAGATATTCAATGGAGTGAGCACCATGTCAAGCATATGAATACAATAAAATTATAAAAAACATCCTGTTATTATATCAGAAAGAGCCTTTCCTTTCCAGAGGCTTTGCACTTGTAGGCAATCACGTTGCTAAGTAGGTTAAGGTGGGGGCCAAAAGGGGAAAAAATCAATTCCCACGATTTACTGTTATAAATTTTTTTTAATTGTTCTCACAAACAAGTATTCATGTTTCAAAATTGTCACGATTTAGACTAAGCGGATATACGGTATCAAACACAACTCTTGCAAAAATATGCCGAACTTCCGGCAGGTTTCCCAGAGCCAATGACTCATAATCAATCTTGCTGCCTTGCTTTGGCACAAATCCCCTCTCGGCACCAGACGTTACGCAACTAAAAACCCTGCTGACCCTCAGAGATAACCCCCATGGTATAAATACCTGGAAGTTGAGATCAAACCCAATAACCCTTTAGAGTTTCTCAATAAATGAGATGAATGCAGACAACACACACACAAACAGCAAACAAAAACAAAAAATCTTGTCATGAGGAAATATTTAAATGAAGGAAGTGCTCACCAGATCAGAATATGGTGCTTGTGGGTACCCTGCCATCGCCTCAGAGACTATTTGCTCATCAGTCATATGGTTTAGCGCACGCTTAAGAGATGTTGCAAGATTCACAACCTCATCTTTCAATGCTCGAGGGTTCAAATCCTGAGTTTCTAATAATTCATTAAAGCTAACATCGTGTAGTTTAGTGATTCTCCTAGCTATGTTTACTGCTTCTAGCATATCTCCGCCATTGTGGATTGCAAGGCTAAATGCAGCAACCACCAATGGATCCCTAGGTTGTTCGGACAGTGCTTTGTGGAATGCTAAGATCGCAACCCTGGAAGTGTAAACCTGTGATGAGTCTCAGTTGGTCCAACTCGTAATGAGCTTGTAAGTACACATCCTAGAATCTCCAATATATAAGAGAATCATGCAATTTAATCTGCTTAGATCACTCAGACCAATAAAAAGAAAAAGGAGCAAACAAATTGCGAAGAAATATGATGCAAGGGCAAGAGTACTCCAGTACAACCTGGAGGAATTTTATGTTGTTTGAAACGAAAGTACAACCTGGAGGAATTCAAAACAAGGAACAACTTGCAAGTATGCAGGATAAGGCTGCATACATCTAACCCTCCCCAAACCTCCCAATGGCAGGAGTCTCATCGCCACGCCAAAGAAATACTGGTCTATAACACGAGAATCCAAGAAAAACTGATACCATGCAAGTATGACCAATTAAACCATTTCAATCTTCTATCTTTTCAATTTCCTGTTATTAATGGCATATAGAAAACACATGAGCATTCTGTTATCATAAACATCTTACCATAAGCTACTGTGGCATGGCTTGTCAGGGGAAAGAAGTTTATCCAAGTTAGAAAACAGGGACTGCATGTGGAAAGCCAGAGAATTAAATGCACTTTTAGGTCAAACCCTCTTCATGATATAATCAAGTATTGAATAAGCATATAACAAGTGTGTAATGATAATTACCAAAAGCATGTTAGTCCTTTTGTCACGTCTTCGAAAACCATGGCTAACAAAATATGCTGCCTGCAATATGAAACTGTATTGAAACTTATTGTACTGTGCGGACAAGTAGCAAATTTATTCAATATTAAATCCATACCTGAATAGGTAGAAGTAGTTCTAGGAGTCCAAATTTCCATAATAACCTCAAAGAAGCTTCAGCAGAACCATACGCTAGCATGTAGTTCATTTCCATGAGGAGTCTTCCCTGAAGTATGAAGTAATGACTAAGTAATTCAGGAACTCAAGAATATTAAGTGCAAGGAAAATGATAAGGTCCAAGATCTCTTAAACTACCTTATCAAGCCTAAGAATTGAGTAAGATAAATTTTTAACAGAATGAGCTGTTTCCTTGGAAATACGAAAGCCTAAACGGGCAGCAATTCTTATTGCACGTAGGATGCGAGCTGCACATACGCAGAATCTGATTTAGTTTCTCCATAAACATGAGAAAGAGTTTGTCAAGTGTGCATGGGTTGGGTGTGTTCTTAGAACACACGCCCCACGGGAGAAAACAACTACTTAGCAATTACCCATGTATACACAAAATAATGCAAACAAAATAAAGCAAACAAAAACTCACCACAATCCTCTTGAAAAGAAGTACTTGCAGGTATCACGGTTTGGACCTAGGCCCAAAGAAGATGATGTGAGGACAATGTATTTGCCAGCTAGGCTAAAGTAATTTAAGAAACCACAACTTCTAAGAATACAAGCACACTTTAGCTTTTTGAATGTCCTCCATTCCTCCCATGTAGTCATACACTATCCTCGCATAAGGATCAAACATCAACCTGAAAAAGAAAAAAGGAAAACTACAATAAGTAAAATGAAGGATGAATTTTAAGTGCCAAATTTCAATTAACAAGGATTTCATAAACAACCCGTTAATTGTAAAGTCACGCTGCATACAGTTCCTCCAACGAATATAATCCTTGTCGTCACAGTGAACTGGTTTTCCAAAATCAGCACTTAAGTGACTACCATACTTTCGGGCGGAGATGCTGAAACTTGAGACCTATTATGAGTACAAAAATTAGCATTACATATAGAATGTGTGTGCCAAAGCACATATATATAAGGAAGTATGCTAGAATTTCAGTTTGCAATGATAGCACCCCCAATGCGCAACCAATTAGACATAGCTCATTATTAGTTGAAAATTAGTTTAGAACTAGGACAAATACAAACCTCCACAACCGTATCACTAATGTGCACATGACATATAGGAAACCGCTTGCCAACTATTTCACACCAAGAAAATGTTCTTGTCACCTGAAAAAATCATTGGCAGATGCTACAAGCTAGAAACAACTTATGGTATCAACACAAACCCGGACAACATTCAATTAAAAATTCAGAGCAAAACCTCTTTGAGTTCAGCTGAAGTTATTATGTCGAAGTCCTTTGGAGTGCGTTTTAAAATAAGATCCCTTACACAACCTCCTACAAGGTATACCTCATATCCTTCAATAGAAAACAACAAGGTCACAAAAATAATACAAACCAAATTCAACCACAATTTCAAACTTTATCACTAACTAAACACCAAAATAGTACGTACCCTTTCGCTTTAGCCCGTTAAGAACCTTTCGGGTCGGCTTGTCAATCATTGATGTAGTAATCCCAAGCTCTTTGGAATTCAACTTCTTCCACGCCGGCGCCTTAACATCTTCTTCACTCCCAAAAAAGTCAAAATTAAAAGTTAGAAAACCATTTTAAAGGTCCCAAAATACAAAACCCAAATCACAGTCATCAAAACTAAAACGGAAAAATTGAAACTTGCTTCTTCCATTAGCTGAATTATTGGTTTTATTGTCCTTAAATAGACCCTCTGGCTCATCAAGCGCCTCCATGGCCGCGACTAAGTTCAATTGCACCTGAAATGGATGGCAACAAATGGCTCATACCGAGCTCAGCTCACACATATACAAACACAAATTCACACTTTCATGTTAAAGTATGCACAAATGCATGCATGAAATTACCTTGTTAATGCATTGAAATTGAGGGGTACGGAGGTAGAATTGGGGTCGGCACGCAATCCCAAAGCTTGAAATCACCATGGGCGAGTTGATTCATTCACCGACTGGGTTTTAGGTGCAGAGCTTAAACCCAATGTTAGGGTTTTAGAAAACAGGGACAGGAGTCACAGACGGATGAAGTTTGTCACTGGAAATGTTTGAGCCACATGAAGATTTGAGTTCGGATTAGCTGGGCCACATGGGCCATTCCTCGCACAAAATCTATTAGTGGGCTCAATCCCAAATTTGGCTAATGTAAATTGAGAAATCTTAAGAAGAGGTTCATCGATCCAAGTTCCACGTGAACTGGTTCTTGGGGTACGTCATGAGTTCGGCCCAAGTTTGTCATGTACTATAGCCTAAGTTGCATTTTTTCGTTTCAACAATTGTCGTTCATGAGATTCAACTTAATATCTCATTCCACAAAGGTTGTTCATGAGATTCAACTTAATATCTTATTCCACAAAGGTTGTATCGATCAACATTGGCATTACATATTTAGCTAATCTTGTCTATGATTACTTGTAAATTGCAAGTTACTTATACAACCTAATTTTTTCCCTAAATTTGGATTAGTTCAAACTTCGAACATATAAAATATCACTCGTTGGGTCATCATAGCCCATCTAGTGGTAGATTTGGCTCGTTGAGCGATGTAACACCACTTTAAGGGTCAAAGATCCTCCTCAATGAACCATAATAACTCAAAAATGTATGATATTTTAGGTGGACCGTGGATGGAGGGGAAAGAATGAGTAAAAGCATAATTGGATCTGGAAAGAAAAAGAGGCAGCCAAATTAGGTGGATGGAGGAAAAGATTGGAATAAATTCATTAAATTGTGATGTTACACACCAAGATTTAGGCATGCAAATGCCACAAGTATATGTTTGTGATGTTACACGTTTATTTGCCACTATACGGCTGCGGCAGGCAGGGCATGCGTGGATTTGCTTTCATTGCAACTGGTTTTATGCAGATCTCTGATCTTAAAGGTTTTATAGATATTTCTCTTTTACTAGTTATCAAATTGAGATTGTATGAGTTTGTCAACAGGCCACAGTCCATTATCTGTTTACGCGTATGCAACACTAACAGACAGTTGCAATTTGAAAGCGATTTCACTACAAAACCCTCGTCCAAAAACCAAACGACAATTTGATCAAATTTGTATGCATTAATTCATGACATTTTCAGGCAATTTCCCAGAAGAAATTAATCAACTTGGATGCTTTCTCACAGATTTGATATGTGAAAAGATTAAAAAAAAACATGTCCACCAAGCATAACACAGAGAGGTCTTTCCTTATTACCTTTCACATCACAAAATCACACTGATATATCATCAGATATGCCTGCATAACTTTACGAGAAAAAATGCAGAAGGCTGCCCAAATGAAATTATTTTGGACTAGACGTCGGTTGATGTTTATATGAAATCCTATTAATACAGTAAGTCGGAGTACCACTTGGAGAGATATGGTTTAATAGAGCACATTCCTTAACGCGTAATGCGTAATATTCAATCGACAAAAACACATTGTCCTTTGTGCGATACAGACAAAATGCATATAAGAGCCAGAGAAGGTGCGTGCCTAGCCTGCGAAATTAAATGAAGGTTCTTCCTTCAGATCGAGCTTGCATTTGGGTAAATACAATGCATATGCCCTGATTGTATAAATATTTATTTATTTATTTATGAAATTGAATTCCAAGATGGGTAAAATTTCCTTTTTGGGCCAATCTGACCTTGAGAGTTTGGAAAAGCCACCATATCCACACATATGTTAAGGTTGCATATATCTTGCCTGGATTTTCTCTCTCTTTTTTTCTTTTCTTGGTTATGATCTCCACAAAAGCTTCCCATTTCCCGTTTTCCATGTTTCGAACTGGCATCTCCTGGCTTCAATAATTTTGTACGTACTATATATATATATATATATTTTACCATTACAATGGAGAAATCATGCGTTTTTCATTTTTTTTTTCTTTTTCCAGATTCAATTCTTCCAAGTCTCTGATCTAGCTGTAGTGATGAGGAGCTGACACGTGTGCACCGACTGCATATATACATACATACAGAGAGAGAGAGAGAGAGAGTGTTGTTTTACAGTGCACGTACAAGAAGATAGAATGGTGACAATAAAAAGGACCCCCACCCCCGTCGTTCACGCCAAGTCTATATGACTCGTCACACTCAACAGAGATTTGCTAATGCCACCCACCAATCATAAAATATTAATAATGTTTTTGTGTTTGTTACATTGCATGCAGCCACCCCACCACAAAATCATTCAAAGTTTTGAGAGGACGGATTTTGGTTGTTGCAGGGTTTTTGTTGGTTTGGGGTTTTGGGAGGAGGAGGAAGAGAAAGAAGAAGAAGAAGAAGAAGAAGAAGAAGAAAAAGGAAATTATTAAACGAGGAAAACGTGCTCAAAATAAAATCATATATTACCATTGCCAGTTGTGATCTTCTTCACTACAACACGATTCTAGCTAGCCAGTCAATTAGGTGCATTTATTTATCCACCATAGTCGTGGTTCATGATTTGAGTAGTTTGAAGAACCGGCCAAGAGGGGGTTATTAAAACAAGGAGCGGTCCCAAGTTTCCACGGTCCAAGTTCAGTTCAGACCGACAGAATTTATTAATTTCATCATTTATGTATGTACCAAATATTTGTATAACAAAGATAAATTTAAAATCGTATTGTGTGCGGGACAATATACAATATCAGTGTTACTAGTAGTAGACCACTAATCCGTTTCTCTAAAATTTAACAACTTTCATATATTTGCTTCTTAGTGATTCTAGGATTTGAGGTACGTAGTATTAAAAGCAACAAAGCTTTGCGATTAAGGTTGTATCACGTTATTATATTACGAGGTTTCTCTCAACTTTCACGCCGTTGTTTTAAGTTATTGTAAGACTATTGCTTTATTGCCTTCCCCCTTATTACATTCAAAGATCTCAACATACGATTTCAAGTTTCAACAAAGAAAGTGATTGGTCGCCAAGATCCCAAGAAAATTATGGATTTGAGAACGTTGGAGATGACAGACACAAGAAAAAAGGGACCACAATCTCTCATGAAAATAAAAATAGAAGAAAGAAAGAAAACCATCCGAAAAGTCAGAATGAATCAGAGAGGCTGAGGCGAATGATGCTTTTGATGGCATTGCATTGCATTGGACCAAAGACAGCTCCTGGGAGGACTGAAAGATACCTTACGATTCTCGAACCCCATGATGCTCTTTTAATTTTCATGCACAGAGACAAGTCATCGCACACACACACACACAGCTTTTTCCTTCTGAATTCTGTACGTACTTCAAAGTAATTGACAGCAAAGATCAAACCAAAACGACAACTCCAAAGCTTTTTATTACTTCACACAAAAGTTTTTTTCTAAAAGTTCTAATTAGTAATTAAATAATCTTAAGTACATGTGGTTAAGGGCACGAGGTCAATCTCACGGACAAAAGCTTCCTCATCTTTGCGTTCGGTTTCATGTTCCTCATTTGGTAGCTCTTAGAATATTGTATGGTAATTCGAAATGTTATAATCTTCAAATGAATTACAAAGAGAATCCTCTAAAGTTATGCTTGTGTGTGTATATATGTTACTTTTTTTATGGCCCGAAAATGGGCACTAACAATGGGGAACCTATAGCATAGACGGTACGGTGGCCCAAATTTGTTTCAATTTAATAAAGGAGAATGTCTTAATTATGAATATAATTGGAGCAAATCCATAGTTAATTTGGAACAGCATGACTTGATGTATGTGGCATATATATAAAGATTGAAAAAGCGTGGTGTACGTTTAAAGATACAAGTTTCTTTGAGAGAGAGAGAGAACTTTTTTTTATGTCAAATTTCCATTTTTTAAGAACATGCGTGGGAATTCCACTATGATTTGACTTATCAATTAGGTCTTCACAACTAATTTGTTAGTTGTGAACTTTCCTTAGAGGAAGAGCGAGTTAGTGACAATCCTCTATACGCGCATTAATTAATAATTTCAAGTATGCATTACAAAAAAAAAATTGGTGACAGTCATTATTATTTAGTGACATTTGATGACTAATGCAGGAGTGACTGTTGTCACTTTTTTTTGTAATGATAAATGTGCAGAGGTTTTTAGATAACTAAATTTGAATTTAACCAACTAATCAAACCAACCCGGGCCTTAAGAGAGTGCAAAATTAATCATCGGTGGGATCATGCTTCTTTATCTTCTCTTAAAAAAGAAATTATGTACGATTACAAGAGGATGAGAGGTGTACATTTTTGGTGCAACAAGAAAAAACGTTGGATCATGAATCCAAGATAGGGGCAGGGCAGTACTTCTCAGCAAACTGAAAAAGAACATCATCATACCTTTCTTTAGCCTCAAACGAATGGCAGAAGAAAGAGAAGAGAAGCAGCTTTTGGCTTCAATTTCTTCTGTTCATTCACACAATCACTTTAATTTTTATGTTTAAGAATTACAGTGTTCGGATGACCAACTAGTGCACACTGAAAATGTAGCTGAATCATGTTTAGTCTTAGGGTGCTTTCATCTCAGGTCATTTAATTTTGCAGAAGCTATATATATATATATATACAGCCTTGTTGTTACTTTGTCTGTGATTTGATTTGATTTGAGCCCTTGCTTTATGCTACAGCTCTTAACCAATTATTGTTTCTATCAGTAAATTAAGAACCCAATTTGGTTTTTATTTGTCCAGTCAGTCATGCGTTCAATAAATATACCTATGGTTTTTATTTTTATCAGCTACTCATATTTTTCATCTTGCCCTTTTCATGTACAGTACAGTACTACATATTAATTCACGGAGAGAGAGAGAGAAAGAGAGAGAGAGAGAGAGGGATTGATGAGATAAGACTGGTCAAATGTACAGAAACTTTGCATGGGATTGAGTTACAAAAGATTTTATACATAATTTGGATGTGTCTTCTTCTCTATACCCTTCTCATCTTTATATAAGCCACTGGCCTCTTAATTTCTCACAGACAGAACCCATATCCACTTTTCTCGACTGCTACTTTCTGCCTCAGGCTTCAATTAGTCTCTCTTCTATCACTTTCTCTCCTCCCACACTTAACCATTTTCCAATTCCAAAGCGCTCAGTTTTTTTTGGTTATATAATATGGCAGCCTTTTCATACCACCCTGCCTTTCTCCTTGACTCAATTTTCTTGCCCAACACTCCTTCTAACAACATCAACATTGATGATGACCATTTCTCTCCATCTTACCCTTCTGAGCCTTTGATCCAGGAAGTTCATAATACTGATTCAAGAGCTGTTGAAAGCAGCTGTACTGTTGATCACAGCTCAGCAAAGGTTTCTCTCAGTGACAATGAGCCTTCTGTGACCAAGAAACAGAGCACAGAGTCCTCAACTGTGGTGGATAAGCTTGAAACTGGTGAGCAGGTCACTCAGAAAGTGACTTCTATGGACAAGAAGAGAAAGAACAGAAATGGATCATCTTTGAATTCTGCTCAATCCAAGGTATAAACAATACAAATTTCTTTTCTTTTTCCTTTTCCATCTGAATTTTACAGAACTTTAGATCTTATTTGTCACACAAAGTTGGGTACTTTAATTGTGATTTGGTTTCCATTAGGCTTCAAGAGAGCACAAGGGAAAGAAGCAAAAGAAATTGGATGGTGCCAAGAACGCTGAGGAAAAGAAAGCTAAATCAGATAAAAAAGACCAGGTCAAAGTTGGAGATGAACCTCCAACAGGTTACATTCATGTTAGAGCAAGGAGGGGTCAGGCTACTGATAGCCACAGCCTTGCAGAGAGGGTACCAAAATAAAAATTCAGTCTTTAGCATTTACTTGGAACATATGGCCACCCATCAATTCAGTTTGCCCTTTTTATCCACAAAAAAACATGAAATTTCATTTAACATACCCAAAATGATTGCCCAAAATTCCAATTGTGTCTCATAATTGTAACTTTTTCCCTTTTTCAGGTAAGAAGAGAAAAAATCAGTGAGAGGATGAAGATGCTGCAAAGACTTGTTCCTGGCTGTGACAAGGTGGAACCAAGCTCTCTAAGCTTCCTTGTCTCTCTTACCTTAATATGGACTTGTATGTATTATGTTTTTAGAAGCAGTGTAATTTTCTGACAGATTCATGTGATTGGTTTTAAACATATAGGTCACTGGAAGGGCAGTGATGCTGGATGAAATTATCAATTATGTCCAGTCCCTACAAAATCAAGTGGAGGTACCACAACAATTACTCCAAACTGTTTTTTACTGTAAAACCCACATGTAAAATTTATCTCCTTAACTGTCTGAATTTACCCAATATGATTTTATTTTTATCCATCATTTTTCCAGTTCCTCTCAATGAAGCTTGCTTCTGTGAACCCCTTGTTCTATGACTTTGGAATGGACTTGGGTGCTTTGATGGTCAAACCAGAGGTAAATAGCTAGAACTTCACCCTTTGCACTTTGACCAATTTACTGACCTTTTTTTTTTTGCCATTAATATATTTATCTTCTTATCTGACATGTAAATTCAGAGATTGAGTAGCATGGCATCACCACATCCATCTGTGCCACAATGCAGCCCCACACAGCCCACACCTTTTGCTGATACATCTACCAACATCACCACCAACACCACCTTCTCCACAGCTAACAACTATCCTTTTCTGGACAGTTCAGCTTCATTTCTACTTCAACAAGGGCAGAGGCCAAATGACTTTTCTCAGGTATAAGTTTCTGACCAAATCTTTCTAACCCATTTCCAATTTTTCTTCAAAGATAGCAAGTACTATTTTCTTTTTCTTTGTTTCATTTTTTTGGGTGAATAATTAATCCTATTTCTCTAACCTTGAGGTCCATGACAAACATATCATTTTCAGGACAGTGAAAGCCTAATGTGGGATGTGGAGGATCAAAGACAAAACTTTCTCCATCCATCTGGTTTCGGCAACAACTTTCAATTAATATAATCCAAGAAGCTGCCCCCACAAGCATACGGGCATATGGTTGGCCCCTCAATTCCTGTCTCATACTTTCGAGTTAATTAAAAACAAATATCATGTACTTGTATTGATTTTTTTAAAAATATGTTCCACTTTTGTTGACTTAAAAGTGATAAAGTTCTCTTCTTTTTTTATTGGTCTTATTCCAGTTTGTGAGAAGACTACTGCAAAAAGTAAAGATTGAAAAAGCGTGGTGTACGTTTAAAGATACAAGTTTCTTTGAGAGAGAGAGAGAACTTTTTTTTATGTCAAATTTCCATTTTTTAAGAACATGCGTGGGAATTCCACTATGATTTGACTTATCAATTAGGTCTTCACAACTAATTTGTTAGTTGTGAACTTTCCTTAGAGGAAGAGCGAGTTAGTGACAATCCTCTATACGCGCATTAATTAATAATTTCAAGTATGCATTACAAAAAAAAAATTGGTGACAGTCATTATTATTTAGTGACATTTGATGACTAATGCAGGAGTGACTGTTGTCACTTTTTTTTGTAATGATAAATGTGCAGAGGTTTTTAGATAACTAAATTTGAATTTAACCAACTAATCAAACCAACCCGGGCCTTAAGAGAGTGCAAAATTAATCATCGGTGGGATCATGCTTCTTTATCTTCTCTTAAAAAAGAAATTATGTACGATTACAAGAGGATGAGAGGTGTACATTTTTGGTGCAACAAGAAAAAACGTTGGATCATGAATCCAAGATAGGGGCAGGGCAGTACTTCTCAGCAAACTGAAAAAGAACATCATCATACCTTTCTTTAGCCTCAAACGAATGGCAGAAGAAAGAGAAGAGAAGCAGCTTTTGGCTTCAATTTCTTCTGTTCATTCACACAATCACTTTAATTTTTATGTTTAAGAATTACAGTGTTCGGATGACCAACTAGTGCACACTGAAAATGTAGCTGAATCATGTTTAGTCTTAGGGTGCTTTCATCTCAGGTCATTTAATTTTGCAGAAGCTATATATATATATATATATACAGCCTTGTTGTTACTTTGTCTGTGATTTGATTTGATTTGAGCCCTTGCTTTATGCTACAGCTCTTAACCAATTATTGTTTCTATCAGTAAATTAAGAACCCAATTTGGTTTTTATTTGTCCAGTCAGTCATGCATTCAATAAATATACCTATGGTTTTTATTTTTATCAGCTACTCATATTTTTCATCTTGCCCTTTTCATGTACAGTACAGTACTACATATTAATTCACGGAGAGAGAGAGAGAAAGAGAGAGAGAGAGAGAGGGATTGATGAGATAAGACTGGTCAAATGTACAGAAACTTTGCATGGGATTGAGTTACAAAAGATTTTATACATAATTTGGATGTGTCTTCTTCTCTATACCCTTCTCATCTTTATATAAGCCACTGGCCTCTTAATTTCTCACAGACAGAACCCATATCCACTTTTCTCGACTGCTACTTTCTGCCTCAGGCTTCAATTAGTCTCTCTTCTATCACTTTCTCTCCTCCCACACTTAACCATTTTCCAATTCCAAAGCGCTCAGTTTTTTTTGGTTATATAATATGGCAGCCTTTTCATACCACCCTGCCTTTCTCCTTGACTCAATTTTCTTGCCCAACACTCCTTCTAACAACATCAACATTGATGATGACCATTTCTCTCCATCTTACCCTTCTGAGCCTTTGATCCAGGAAGTTCATAATACTGATTCAAGAGCTGTTGAAAGCAGCTGTACTGTTGATCACAGCTCAGCAAAGGTTTCTCTCAGTGACAATGAGCCTTCTGTGACCAAGAAACAGAGCACAGAGTCCTCAACTGTGGTGGATAAGCTTGAAACTGGTGAGCAGGTCACTCAGAAAGTGACTTCTATGGACAAGAAGAGAAAGAACAGAAATGGATCATCTTTGAATTCTGCTCAATCCAAGGTATAAACAATACAAATTTCTTTTCTTTTTCCTTTTCCATCTGAATTTTACAGAACTTTAGATCTTATTTGTCACACAAAGTTGGGTACTTTAATTGTGATTTGGTTTCCATTAGGCTTCAAGAGAGCACAAGGGAAAGAAGCAAAAGAAATTGGATGGTGCCAAGAACGCTGAGGAAAAGAAAGCTAAATCAGATAAAAAAGACCAGGTCAAAGTTGGAGATGAACCTCCAACAGGTTACATTCATGTTAGAGCAAGGAGGGGTCAGGCTACTGATAGCCACAGCCTTGCAGAGAGGGTACCAAAATAAAAATTCAGTCTTTAGCATTTACTTGGAACATATGGCCACCCATCAATTCAGTTTGCCCTTTTTATCCACAAAAAAACATGAAATTTCATTTAACATACCCAAAATGATTGCCCAAAATTCCAATTGTGTCTCATAATTGTAACTTTTTCCCTTTTTCAGGTAAGAAGAGAAAAAATCAGTGAGAGGATGAAGATGCTGCAAAGACTTGTTCCTGGCTGTGACAAGGTGGAACCAAGCTCTCTAAGCTTCCTTGTCTCTCTTACCTTAATATGGACTTGTATGTATTATGTTTTTAGAAGCAGTGTAATTTTCTGACAGATTCATGTGATTGGTTTTAAACATATAGGTCACTGGAAGGGCAGTGATGCTGGATGAAATTATCAATTATGTCCAGTCCCTACAAAATCAAGTGGAGGTACCACAACAATTACTCCAAACTGTTTTTTACTGTAAAACCCACATGTAAAATTTATCTCCTTAACTGTCTGAATTTACCCAATATGATTTTATTTTTATCCATCATTTTTCCAGTTCCTCTCAATGAAGCTTGCTTCTGTGAACCCCTTGTTCTATGACTTTGGAATGGACTTGGGTGCTTTGATGGTCAAACCAGAGGTAAATAGCTAGAACTTCACCCTTTGCACTTTGACCAATTTACTGACTTTTTTTTTTTTGCCATTAATATATTTATCTTCTTATCTGACATGTAAATTCAGAGATTGAGTAGCATGGCATCACCACATCCATCTGTGCCACAATGCAGCCCCACACAGCCCACACCTTTTGCTGATACATCTACCAACATCACCACCAACACCACCTTCTCCACAGCTAACAACTATCCTTTTCTGGACAGTTCAGCTTCATTTCTACTTCAACAAGGGCAGAGGCCAAATGACTTTTCTCAGGTATAAGTTTCTGACCAAATCTTTCTAACCCATTTCCAATTTTTCTTCAAAGATAGCAAGTACTATTTTCTTTTTCTTTGTTTCATTTTTTTGGGTGAATAATTAATCCTATTTCTCTAACCTTGAGGTCCATGACAAACATATCATTTTCAGGACAGTGAAAGCCTAATGTGGGATGTGGAGGATCAAAGACAAAACTTTCTCCATCCATCTGGTTTCGGCAACAACTTTCAATTAATATAATCCAAGAAGCTGCCCCCACAAGCATACGGGCATATGGTTGGCCCCTCAATTCCTGTCTCATACTTTCGAGTTAATTAAAAACAAATATCATGTACTTGTATTGATTTTTTTAAAAATATGTTCCACTTTTGTTGACTTAAAAGTGATAAAGTTCTCTTCTTTTTTTATTGGTCTTATTCCAGTTTGTGAGAAGACTACTGCAAAAAGCCAGCCAAAACCAGAGAAAAAGAAACTCAGACATGAAGAAATTTCTTTTTTCTTTTTAATCAGCATCATCAGTTCCATTGGGGAGGGGCTTCTTCACCCAAAGCCAAAGGCACTGGTTCCAAGTACAATATATATTTTTGTAGTGGGCTCTGAAAATGAATAAAGGGTAGCAGCAATATCAATGGATGAAGAACACAAAGGACAGATAACAACCGACCATAAAAGACCAAATCTTTTTCTAGATCCCTTGTCCCTGTCCATTCTGGACTCTCCTTCTCTCTTCCTTAGTCTCTTTTATTATGCAAATGCACAAATTCCAAGACCCTGTATGATGGTGGTGGTGGTACTTAAAGCTTGGAACTTTAATTTTTATGTGAAAGAAAAACTATGTATAAAATAATAACCATTCAATATATATATATATATATATTTGACCAATTCTTGTGGTTACAGTTATTCCTGTTATTTCAGTTATTTTTTTAACCGTTGTTGCCCATTATTTGAGAAAGGAAGTAAAAAGCCCAAAAGTAGGGTTGATTTGATCCTGTTCCTGTGTGCTGTAGTTGACATGACTGGTTATGCAGGCTGTTGGTTTAATTGGCTTTACATGTTTTGTGGAATCTTTTGTGTGTCTTGGCTTTTACTGTGAGCTGAGGTTTCTGAGGACCTGAGGTTAATTCCCCCTATCCATCTAAGTTAACGGTTCTTGACAGAGCACCTGTTGAGAATAAAAAATTTGAGCAACAGCTTAACAACAAAAAAGAACAATAACATGCAGATCTGAGCTTATTGACCAAGTAGATTGAGATCTCATAGTTTGGAGCTATAAAGAGGGGATATCTTTTAGATTGATATCCGATAATTTTGACCAAGTAGATTGATATTCGATACTAAACAATCTTTATCGTCTTCACATTATTGATTAAGTACCTTGCATCGTAGATTGATGCCCGATACCAAACAATGTTTACCGATTTTACATGTGTAGTTTTATAAGTGATTGCGTGAATTCAAAGTTACTGTGTGAACAATATTGCAGAGGACCACATTCATTAACTTCTTTGAACTGAACTAGGTCACATGACAATCATATACAGTTTTTCATTGAATGCTTTTACCATATGTACCAAGGGAGAAATAATTGTTCTGATGCCAAATATTGCTGTAAAATGTTTCACCACAGGAATGACAATTATGAATTGGCGGAAAATATATATCAAACATAGAAATCTGGGGCAGGCTCTCAACAAGCACATTCAGAAGGAACTATATTATCCATAAATAACATATGTACAACTTTGTTTGGGAAATTCTTCTTCTTTTTAAATCAGTCGACATGGCTTAAGTTAAGTTATTGGATCTATGGAGGAAGACAATCCATGTGGTTTTTTTTTGTTCCACCTGCTTTTTTGTGCTGACCCACATGTTGTATTGTTCTTGCCAATCAGTCGGCCATGTCTATCCTACTTGCAATGTTTTGTATATGTCAATAACATATAAAACTGTGGAGACGTGAGTTAGTTTAGTTGCCGTCTGAATTTGAATTTCTCTTCAAAAAAATTAGGGTTTCAAACAAGAAAATTTGGCAATCATATTGTCGAATTGTCCAAACTCCAGTCCCGTCTCTTAAAGTTAAAGAGGAACAAATTGTCAGCTCTAGAAGCTACTGATGCATCCGACTTTGGTTCCCTCTCATTATTCTCTTTTATCTTCCACAGGTGTCCATGAAAAAGCATGATATATATGAGAAGGACATACTCATATAATGATAGATCATGGCTTTATATTGGTTATTCATTAGAGTTTCCTTTTATCAAATCATGACCAATCAAGGGAAATGGTGGCCTACAAATTTAATTTGTTTGATGCGCAGACCGTTCCACATTTTCCACTTGGCTCAGCTGAAATAAAACTTCTGAATAGCATATATCAGACACTCTCTGTATCTGTAGAGTACACGTACATATTGTGTCGATTATGTCGAAAATATATTGAATACATTGGGACGTTTTGATATACTATTGATGACATATCGACAATCCGTTTTCTAATAATTTTCTTATCCTTAACAATTAAGAAATTATTATATAATGAGTCACGCATTATAGTCGGTATCAAATTTCTGTGTTATTTGTTGTTTGAGTCCGAGTGTGTATGAAATAATCATGAATAGACATGATACATATTCCATGAAGTTCTATAGAATTTGAATGATGATTAAAAGGGTGCTATGTCATTAGCCAAGCCATCAATCATCATTGTCTCCTTGCATTGGGACAAAAGAAAACGTTTCCAAAACCATCCAGCTTATAGCAAGCAAAACCCATGGCACCGTACGAAATCAATTTCTGTAAACCTTTCCACAAGTCTCTCCCATAAAAAGGAGAGACATTTGGCAACCCTAGCTCCGTACAACCATCAAAGCAAAGCCATAATGCATCCAAACAAAACCCACAAAGAGAGATGTCGTATAACGAATTGTGTTATTTTTTTGGCTCATTTGGATGATCAAACAAGTACCTTAAAAGAGGATTTAAAATATAAACTGCTTCGCCAACGGGGTCTAGCCCAGTGGAATAGAACCTTGATTTGCATACCAATTATCTCATGTTCAAATCCTCATATAACACCTTGGTAATGTGTGCAAGAGCCTAATTAGCTAATTGCGTGTCCATGTTGGCTAGCCGAATTCTATCATCTATATATGCATGGTTGGCTCTTTAAGTTCGCCCTTCCCCTAGCTAGCTATAGCTAGCTGCAGTACAATCAATAATCACTTGGAAATCTCACTCCCTCACAACCTCCAAATCCTAATCACACATTAATCATGCAGATTGCTGAACATCAATTGGATGCATGCCAATCGCTTTTTCTGACTAGTCGCTTGAAAATTAATGTCACTTTCATTTATTTTCTTTCTCCAGGACAACAGACATATGATTATCATTTCATTTATTATAACTTCTCTTCTTTTGGTGAAGCTGCATGCTCTAGCTAGCTTGGCGCCCCAAGCTACAAGTACGAAGGTCTCATTGCGGAGGTGCCATTTGTCGGATATCCCAGTTTCAAGCTATGTGACTTCGAATCGATGGATCATAGAATTTAATTTCAATAGTACTGTGACAGTGATACAAATCAACACATGCATGCATGTATATCTAAAATAACATGTACATTTATTCGTCAAAGATCATGTGAATCTACTTACTAATATACGTAATTTTACATGTCCGAAAACTAATCTACGTATTATGATATGTATAAATGGTGAGTTTGTATTTTATAATGTGTGCGGATTTAACGATTTTGCTGAAAATTCTCTCTTAGAGCATCTCTAATGGGATTTATTTGGCTTGGACTAGGTCTAGATCTAGCCTCAAATTTTTTTAAAAAAACCACTTTCTAATGAATGTGTTTGGCTCAGTCGAATTTGACGCAAGGCAAAATAAGAGGCCGGTTTAGTCCTAGTGTTAGCCTGGGCAAGAATGGACTCCACAGTCAGCTTCTTAAAATAAAAAAAGAGAGGGAGAGGGGGAACTTTTCCAAATGCAATGGCCTATTAGCCATTGCCACATGAAAGCTGATTTTTGAACGGCAAATTGTTGAGTTATGTCCCTAGCCCCTCACCACCAATAGAATCACAAAAATATATTAAAAGGCTAGATTTTGCGAATAGTACCATTAACACACCTAGCCCCTCCCCCCTCCTTCCCACGAGTTATGACCCCGACTTTCTTGTCTTTCAAGCGTCCTATAGTGTCAGTGTCACTTTCCTTTCAACTAGTATTTGACCATACGAAATAGTAGTATGGTACTGGAGAGGGATACCTATATATCAACTTCATGCTTGGACAACAAGACAAAACTTAATTAATCTCTAATTTTTTGAAATCAATATCAATTCTCGGGTTCACACTAACGAGTCATTCGTCTACTAATATTACTCTTTCATAATGTTAGAAAATATCTCGAATTCATCTCCCTCGTACTATAAGATAAAAAAAATGAATACTTGATTTGTTAAAATTAATTAAAAAAGATGCTAAACGGACCATATATATTGATCGACCACGTTCGCAAAGTGAAACCTACATATGAATTAGGTTACATGGTTCTTTCTTCATTAAATTTAATTAATTAATTAAAATGAGGAAAAATATATATATTAGAACATGGTGTGTAAGAAATGTAAACAACAATTGACAAGTGCTTCCGGGAAGCATCACAAAAACGACAAGAAACACTTGTTGCCGATGTTTCGGGTTTGATTGGCACAAACAAAATCTTACAAATAACGAATAAACTCAGCCTTCAACTAGATAAGGCGTGCATTTACTAAAAAAAAAACTTCCCTACGGCTACAAGCTATTGCTTTCGCTGTCGATTGAAGCCATAAAAGATAAGGACGTGCGGTTTCATTTTTGGGTGTTGTTAAACGAACCTTAAAATTAACTGAAAATTTGTTAAGAATCTAGCAAAGCGAAGAACCAAAATTGAGCAGCTTTACTATTGTTGTGAAAAACATAGCTGAGGAAAATCCTGCATATGGAGATGTAATCAAGGAGCAAGGCACGGCATCATCAAACGGCCACTCAGCCGTGGAGGACTCTCAAAACAACTAACAAGATACAAGCAAGAGCAAGGAGGATGGCACCAAAACAGTACCGTATTTACAAGCTTTTCTTCTTTGCTGAATCGTTGGATTACTTGTTAATGCATGTTGGTACAATCATTGCTAGTGGAAATACCATCATCTTCGGAGATGTGATTAATTTCCTTTGGAGAAACTGGGAATAATAAAGACGGCAATGGTTATAGGTTAAATACGGTGAGTAGGGTGTACTTATTAAAATATTACATTTGTTTCACAATTCAATATATCTTTTTTGGTCATTTTATATTAAGATAAATTAATAATTCAATAAATAATTCGGTAGTAGGGTATACTCAGTTAATTTTAGGATTCGTTTAATAACACGCTTATTTTTTATTTATTTTTTTTATCAAAATCATAATCTCTCATTAGGGAGGGACCAAAACCAAAACTCAGCACGACGGTGCATGCAGGCCCATGGTGGTGGCCAATGGGGCCCTGGCTCCACCCATGGCCCACATTTCCCACATGGCCCAGCGGGAGGCAAAGCTGCATGGCAAGGCCCCTTGGCTATTGAATGGCATTGTCCCTTTTGTCTATTGGTGAAGAAGAAAGAAGGTGACACTGATTTAATCGGGTGGTGTCCATATCTCTTTGCATCCGAGGAGGCATGGGCAATTAGGGGGCATTTGCCCTAGAATTGTACAATAGGGACTTGGTTTATAATATTTTTTTTGGCTAAAACTTGGTTTATATTTTGTTCCACGCAATCCTTGTAACTTGTAAGTTGCAACAACAACAAACTGTTGTTGCATGATATTTAGGAATGGCAACGGGACGGGTGGGGACCGGAGATGCTATTATCATTTATGTTTTGTCGGGCATTCGAGACTCATATTACAATTATTTTTATATTTATAAACTTAAAAAGGAAAACGGGCCAGAGACCATACCAATTAAGGTGACCCCCCGCACAAATAACGGGGATCGGAAGAAAATTGACGTTCCTAATGATATTTACCTTCTAAAACGTCCAATCAATATTATTGATGGCATAATGGCTCAACAAATCCTGTTATGCGATTATGCTGTCTGCAATGTCGGGGTTTTTTTTAATAAAAAAGTTTTTAAATTTTTTTTCTCAAGTTCAGTTTTTGAATTATAAAGACAGCTGAAATTTTTGAATTGAGGGATGGGTGTCCAAATAATACATTTGGGTGCCGTCCTGTTTATGTTGTCTGCAATGTTGGGCCTTAAGGGCTCATAGGCCCAATTAATCCGAAAATCAGGCCCGCCATAACTTGGGTCGAAATTAAGTGGGCTAAAATTGCAATTACGCGGTCTTCTTTATCCAGTTTTTCTGTTACTCGGAACAGTGGGAGGAGGAGGTGAGAGCACAAAGAGCAAGCGAAGTGAGTCTCTGAGATCCAGAGCTCGGAGAAGGTGGCAAATCAAACCAATCGTCAATTTTCAAAAGGGAGCTTTTGCTGCCAAAGCTTGAATCTCTTGAAGCCGATGAGGCTTTTGCAGTTGGCGTTCGTAGTATCTCTACTGTTTGGATTGGTCGCCATCCTTATCTACATCACTGGCGTCTCCGATCTCTGTATGTCTCTCTCTCTCTCTCTCTCTCTCTCTCTCTCTCTCTCTCTACGCATGTTGAATATGTATATCTTTATACGTATGATTTGAATTCTGTGATATAGATGAGACGCATCGGCTTACCGAAGAAGATGTGGAAGCACTGCAATCTCTGCAGACCGGTTTCCAAAAGTGTGTGGTGAGCCTTCTCCTTTTTTCGATTTTTCGATTTTTTTTTCTTTCTATGAATTGAAATGTCTGCTTTTTTAGTATATATGTATATACACACACATATATAATCATAAGTTTATATGCTTTTGCTGTGGTAGCGGATAGTAAGGTAAGTTTATTTGAAGTATTTTTTGTGTGAGAAATGTTAGCATTTTGTGCCTGTTATATTCATCTAGAATTTATACGCCTTGGTACTTGTTATACCGAATGTTGTGATTGGTGGTCTAACATTGCTTATTTACGTACCTGCTTCATATGATTATGATGCAGGCTGCAAATGGATTAGGTTTGCAAGCTTCGCTTGGTAAAGATTACTGTCAAGTCACAATGCAATTTCCCGCTGATACCATTCCTAAATGGGTGAATTTTTTCTCCATTGAAATGTTCCGAATTTACAAATGAGATTTATAGACAATTGCGTTTATGAGTTGGGATAAGATAACCATAATCTTTAAAATGAAAAGAAGCATTATTAAATCCCTTTTTGTATTGATTCATATTCTCTTCAAGCAATACTCTACAGAAGTTGCAATGTCTTGGCATCTCTTTTGGCGATTTTGTGGTTGTCAACTAATATAAGTTGCTTCTTTAGGCTTATGTATTGTCTGAATTTTATGTATAAACAGAAAGATACCAAAACCGGTGAGCTTGAAGGCTTATCGTATGAGTTTAATCTTTGTGAAGCTGTGGCTACATGGGAACAGGCGAGTATTCTATCATGTCTCCTAATGTATGTATCATTCATAGCAATGCACACGAGGAACTGAGATCTGTCATTTCTTTGTCATCAAATGAAACTTGCAAGTGTGCATGTTGAAATCAATTCTTCCTTTTTCTTAGTGCCTTTTTAATGTCAAGTTTGATTTTGTTTTATGCTTTACAATTGATTTGTTATTCAGTGAGTTGATTGCTCAGGTGCGGAATAGTACCACAATACTGACCAGGGAGTTCATTGATTCCTTACCAAATGGATGGGAGAATTATGCGTGGCATAGGATTAATAAAGGAGATCGTCTGTGAGTACTGCTCAAGATACAAGTTTTTTAGTGGACAATTATTGGATGAATATGTAGTTGATTTAGCGTATTTCTGTATTGCAGCAACCGCTGTAAGAATAAAACATTATGTGTGGAAAAACTTTCACTGGTACTCCCGGAAACACCACCATATGTTCCACGGATGTTTGGCCGATGTGCTGTGATTGGAAACTCGGGAGATCTTTTGAAAACAAGGTTTGGGAAGGAGATTGATGGGTATGATGCTGTTATTAGAGAAAATGGTGCACCAATTCAGGTCAAGCTGATTCTATATTAAGAGTTAGAAATAATGATGGTTACTTGACTTTGAGAAATCTTCTTACCTTTTTGTTCTACTACAGAACTATACCGATCACGTGGGGAAGAAAAGCACATTTCGGCTTCTTAATAGGGGATCTGCTAAAGCTCTTGATAAAGTTGTGGAGTTAGATGGTACGAGAACTGGTCCACTTACTTTATAAATACTGCATATTACTAGAAGTAACACTAAATATACAAATCTTGCAGAGTCAAGGAAGGAAGTCTTGATCATCAAAACAACAATTCATGATGCTATGAACCAGATGATTCAGGTTTGTACATTGTTTTTTAATATCTTGTCTTGACTTAACACTCCACCAAGTACTTGTTGCTGCGTATCCATTTAACTGCAAACAGTAATGTTGTTTTGTTTTTACAACTTTTGGTTTTGCCTTCCGCAGGAACTTCCAATAAAAAATCATGTATATCTCCTGCTAGGTGCTTCCTTTGGTTCTGCCGCAAAAGGAACTGGGCTCAAGGCTCTTGAATTTGCGCTCTCTATATGTGACTCGGTAGATATGTATGGTTTCACTGTAGATCCTGGATATAAAGAATGGTAAAAATAATTTCCTTCTGCCCCTGCTGCCAATTTCTCCTACAAAATGTTTCCTCACTATGTTAAAATGTTCATCTGATTGAGGATCTTGAAACATCCTTTCAGGACTAGATATTTCTCAGAATCTCGACAAGGTCATACTCCTCTACATGGTAGGGCATACTACCAGATGATGGAGTGTTTGGGTGTAAGTGTTTAATGCTCTCTTTTTGTCTGTAATCTGGATATATAAGCTGTATTAGTAATTGTATCTTGAAGGTGGTATGGGGGAAGAAACCCTCCTTCTATGGATTCCAGATGGTAAATTTTTTTAGTTAAGTCAACAAACCTTGTCTCTTTCAAATATGTTTTTTTTTCCTTCCAATAAATTGAAATTATTCAAATAAGTTTTAAGAATCCAGAACTTTAGTGTCCTTTGTTTGTCTATTTGAAAATAGTACTGTGGTGAGAAGAATGGTTAACGTATACTTGATCATTTTTAATTTTTCTTCTTGTTATTGATAAGTTTTATTTCTCTTGTTAAGCTTATCAAAATTCATTCGCCTATTCGTGCTGATCCAAACCGTGTTGTGCAATGGGTACCGGACCGTAGTGCAGTTACTGCCGCTAGAATTGCATCAGAGAAATTGTTGAGGTAAACTTACAAAATTTATTTACTTCATTACAACAAAATTAGATTCTCTCTTTAAAATAAGCAGTAGCTATTATCAGTGACCTGGAGTTCAACCAAGATTGAGTCATACATCTCTGTAAATCTCATATATCGTTCTTATAGTTAGGAACTTCTGACACAGCCGAACAATCCCATCTCATGAAAGAACTTAATAATTGGGGTAAGAGAAGAGGGTTGACAGTGATGGAACCTATCAAATCCAAGCTCTGCTCCATGTCTGGCTATTTATATAGGAAACCTCTAGTCTTCACCTGATGCTCAATCTTTCCTGTACAATTCTGATTCAGTTCTGCATTGTATTGTGAGGGTTTTCAATCTTACGAATTGCATTATATTGTTCCACTTCAAAGTGGTAATTATGCATTTGTTCGTTTCTATAGGAGGATTGGAGCAGGGTATGCAGACCCACTGCGTATGTGTTCAATTATAAAGAAGCAAGTCAAAATAAAGCTTACATCATTTCTAAGTCTTAGAAAGGCTGCTATTGACCATCAGAAATATGTGAAAAGTGCAACCATGTATCCTCTGGAGCATAGTCTGCGGCATGGTATGCTTTGCGCTGTGTGAACCACTTAAAGTTGAGGTTACTGGACCATTCCTCACACCGAAGCAACTAAGTGAATATGTAACTGAATCTATTGGTCCATAAGTGTCACCCTTCAGCTAACTAAGGATGTATAAAGGAGAAGCTGCTCAAAATTGATCAGGAAGATCAGCAGCTGGCCTGCTCAATGTAGAGTTTTGAAAGCGTTGTAAGTTTCTTGTGGCCCTGCATTCATCGTAACTTTGATTTTCGATAGCCAAAAGGAAAATGTTAGCAGTGTCTTACAAGAATTCATCATATGAGGTTTTACAATTGATTCTTTGGACACAAGGACAGGTCTATGATTTTATAATTCTCTTGTACCTAAATTCTGATCCAATAGTCTGACCAAAAAAATTAAAATTCTGATCCAATTGGCTTCTTACCATGATTTTAAGTGCTTGTATGCATGGGGAAAATGCATTTCAAATCTGTAACATTTATCATCAGCATCAACTTCTTTCTTGGACATGATGGAGCATTCAAGCCAGGCTTTCATTGGGAAAGTAGCTGCAAGTGCAGGGCCTATTCTCTCTCATTTCCCCTTTCAATTTTATTTTATTTTCAATTTTTTGTGTTTTCTTAATTGCTCCTTTATTATTATTTTTATTTTCGCTATTGTTTTAATCAATTATTTACTTTCGATTAAAATAACAAAAAATAAAAACTTTATCAAATAGATCCAAAACTATCGTACGGTTTTTTGGTAGAAAAAACGTCAGCACCTATAATTATGTATAGAAACAAACAAATTGACTTTCCGGGTTTGTCAAGGAACATCCTAGATGGCTTGTGAAGCTTCATGATTTGATGAATCATTTACGAACTTTTTTTATTTTCTTGAATTTTGAAACAATTTTTATGTATAATAAAATATTGGAAAAATCTGGCTCTCTTCACAGTAGAGACGTATCTTAGCATTCAGAATTGAATGGGGCAGGTGCGCCTTTGCCTTTCATTGGAATTGGGGGGGACCAACAGTATTTAACCATTCAGAATTGGAATCCGAGAATGGATAGATAACCCAAAAGGCTAAAAACATGCAAGCGATGAGTGATGATGTAGAGGGCTAAATCTAAATCTCCATTTTGGCAAAAAAATAAGCAGAGCAGAGTTCAAAACGAATCCATCCATGTACCATTTATAGATTTCGATCTTCTTTTTTGGGTCAAAATTTATAAATATTGATTTGATAGAGAGTAAATTCTAGTGGTCAATGGGACATTCCCATCTGATGATAACGTGGAGAGAGAGCCACGTGTCAGCCCCCTTTAGACCACAACACACCCACACTCTCTCTCTCTCTCTCTCCAAACCCCCAAAATCCAAAGTCATTCACTCACTGAAACCCTTTCTTCTCTTCTCTCTTCCCTCATCCCTCTCTCTCTCTCTCTCTCTTATCAATCACTTCATTTACTGTATCTCTCTCTCTCTCTCTAGAAAGCGACCAAAAGGACACTCTTGTAGGCATTGCTACAGTTGGCACAAGCGCTACATCCAAAAGGCCAAAGAGCGCTTTTGCTTCTTCCCTCGTCTTCACTTAACAAACACAGAGAAGGGTTGAGTCTTTTTTAAGAGAAACTCAATCCAGGCAACAATAGGCTCTCTCTCTCAAAAAATTAGAGTAAATAAAAAGATAAAATCGGATTCGATGGCGGAGATACAACCACCGATGGGTCAGATCAACGGCGGACAACTCATGTTGGGTTCATCCGAGACCGTGGGATCGAAGCGACAGCGAAGGCCCAGCGTCCGATTGGGCGACATCGGAGGAGACCAGCCGTACGATTCGCACGTGCGACGCACCACCAAGCAATGGAAGCTCCCACTTGATCACCGGAAAGACTCCAATAAGTCCTCAAAGACTCGACCTTTAACGAATTTGAGCGCTGGTGCCGACTTCCAAGAAACCCTAGACGGCGAAGATAGAGAGGGAAATCTCGATAGTGTTGCCATTGGTAGCTGGAAGGTCAAGGACACCAAGAAAAGAGCTTCGAACACGAAAAGGGTCAGATCCAATTGGGTCTCTTCCAAGATTGATGAAGGTGGTGGTGCTGCTGCTGCTGAAGGGGATGAGAAATTTAGCGGAGGTGAGGATGTTGAAGATGGGTATCGGGATTTTGATGTCGAAAACTCCGAGTCTCCTTTGAAAGACCAGAGCCCAATTCATTCTTCCGACAATTTGGGTGTGGATGGGCATTTGAATGAAAGGGACGTGCTTTACCAGGGAAGTAGGAGACCCATTAGGACTAGGGTTTCGGAGGGTAGGGACCACCATGATGGTGTTGAGCTATCTGTGCCGTCGGATAATGATGCAAGGGATTGGAATTGTAGAGGGACTAGTGGGGATAGAAATGGGAATGAAGGCAGAGGGAGGTGTGGGGAAGATGGTGTTAGGGTTTGGCTCAATGGGCTAGGATTAGGTCGTTATGCCCCGGTGTTTGAAATTCATGAGGTGGATGATGAGGTATTGCCCATGTTAACTTTGGAGGACCTCAAGGATATGGGCATAAATGCAGTTGGTTCCAGAAGGAAAATGTATTGTGCAATTCAGAAGCTTGGAAAGGGGTTTTCTTGACTTTTGTTTTTGTGACTGTTGGCAATTGAAAGACCAAAATGAAGAAGAAAAAAAATCCTCAGCCATGGCAATGTAAGATACATGCCTGAAAGTAAAACTGGTTTGAGCTTTTGGTTATATTTTGCTCTCAAATCTCAACTCAGTGGTATTTTTGGATGAGTAGGTTTTGTTTCGTTGCACTATTTACCTTTTCTTTAATTGAGTGCAAATCCATATTATTTTCTTTTTCATAACAATGCTGGACTAGTTGTAGTTTTTCATTGATCATAGGGAGACCATGATGAGGAACTATCTTTTCTTATCTGGTTGTATCCTTTAGGACAGAATGGGCAAGGGAAAAGCCTAGAATTGGTTGGAGGAAGGACCAATTGTAGTCTTTTCCTTTCCAGTCTTCATTCTTTCCACCAGGCATGCAGAATAATTTTGAGCCGATATCTAATGTATATAATGATTTCCCAGAGCTAAAGATGTCTTTTGTTGAATTTAAGCTATTTATCTATTACGTCTCTGGTTGTTATGATATCAATAATGTTGTATACAGAAAATAAGTGTATCCTATTTTCATTCTGCATTCACTTTTTGGTGATGCTGCAAAGCATTCAGTACACTTGCTGCTGTGTTTTTGCAGTAATTGTCTGTGGCTTTTATTTGAAGCCAAATTTGGCTAGGGGATAAACTGATCAATCTATATAGGTATTTTCTGCGAGTTCTAATTGTAAACCTATTTGGTAGGTTAATGGCAGAGTGGAGATAGACAAGGAGGTGAATTTTGGATGGAAGTCCAACTTGGTTTGTTGTTGCTAAACCTGAAAGTTGAGATCGGATGTAAAGAGTTGCGTAGTTCTCTTATGGCATTTAACTGTAGATTGGATGTCACTCAAAGGGATTTTCTCCCGATACATCCTTCATGTGACCAGGATTGGGATGTAGAATCTAAGGGGTCAGGCATTGTTGTTAGAATGTCCTTGATTAAGGAGGGTTGAGGGGTTATTGCTGAGATGTTGGCAGGGAAAGTCTGCATTCTAGTTAGGGCAGGGTTTGAATGTGATGAATGAGAGTTGGCTTTAAAAAGGGGTTTGATTTTGGCAGGGACATTAGCTGTGCGCCCCTTTCAAGAGAAAAGGTATAAATTCACATGTGAGAAATGATGTCTGATATTAGGAGTTGTGATACAGTCTTTCTTGCATTTGAATTATGATCTTCCGTATTTATGGCGACAAATTGGTAATAGTGGCAGCGTTGATACAGATCTCAACTATCTATTAGAATGATTTAAAATTAAACAAAATCCAATGTTAAGGTGATTTCCATATGATGATGCTGTTGTGCAGTAGAGTTATATAGCTTTCACTAGTTGCATGTAGTTGCTCAACAATTTTCAGGAAGCAAATGCGAGTTTTATAGGGCAAGGCCAACGTGTAGATATATAGCTTCATTATTCTGGCATTTCCGGAGATATACATATCCACAATGATCAAGTCCTTGTGTGCCACAATCCGGGAAGTTCCATAGTGAGCGGACTTATGAGTTCTAGGGCCATTTCCAGCTCAATTCTGCTATCAGTTGTTCTTTTTAGTCAAAATTATCGCCATTTGTATTTGATGTACCATTATCTGAAGCAGCATAATGTAAAGATGTTGCTTGTATAATTGTATTGCGTGTTTCAGGGTTTGGTTAGACCTTGTGATTTTGAAACATGCAAGAATTCTGAGTTTGAAACATAGCTGATTAACATATTTTGAATGAATGAGAGCTCACAGAGCAAAATACAATAAGACCCTCCAAAAGATTCACAGATACAAAACAGATTTAAGCAACAATGCATTGGTCGATGGCAATTACAAAATGAGGATCAGATTAGAATGGATTTTATCCCTTGACTGCAGCCTTTGGAATATATACAAGAAAGTTGAGTTTGAAACACAACTGATAACATATTTAACCAATGAGAGCTGTATCTGTATGTCTGACTGATCAAAATTTCATCGAGGATCACACAGTGAAATACAACAAGACCCTCCAAAAGGTCGCACATACGAAACAGATTTAAAGATAATTGAATGCTTCATGTTTTCCAGCAAAAGCCTCGGAATGTCTGGGGCACAGTTTGATGATTGGATCACCTGCTTAGCCTTACAAATTTACAATTCTGAAGCCCCAAATTCGACTCTTTATTCCAATTTGATGACGTTTGTCTCCTGCTTACTGGGTTCAGCAGGAAAGTATTTTATACCCACCATATCACCGACTCGACTGATAACCTGTCAAATTGCAAACCAGATTATATCACCATAGTTTTGTAAAGAGTCCCAGGTCCTCCAAAAGGTATCACACTCTTAAGTTGAATTGAAACATACCTCCAAGGCTCTGAGAAGATCTTCCTTGGTGTGTGAGGCAGATATACAAATACGCGCTCTGGCCAAAAGTAGAGGAGTAGCCGGGAAAGCTACTGTCACAACAGCAACCTGTACCAACATGATGTATTATCTAACTTGGTCTAAATGCCAAAACACTAATAGAAACGAACAAATGCACTAGAATGGCTTTTATGAATCAAAGATAAGAATACGTGAGTGATTGGCATGTGAATTAACAATAAACTCACATTTTGCTTCAGACATTCCCTAGAAAAAGCAGGAATTTTTGCTGGATTGTAGAGCATTATGGGCATTACAGGGGAATCATTGTCTCCAAGAACCTCAAAGCCCATCTTCTGCAGCTCTGACCTAAAGAAGTTGCTGTTTTCACGAATCCTTGCAAGTTTCTGAGCCCCTCGACTGGTACCATCCTCTCCAAGAATGACCTTAATAGCAGATATGATTTGTTGAGCAGCTGGAGGTGATACTGAAGTTGCGTATAGATGAGCTGGGCAAGTGTATTTAAGATATTGTATAACCTCCTGAAAGTGAAAATGATACATGAGAGGGAGATAATAAGGCCAAAATTTGGTTAACTTGATATTCTTAATCAATTTCAATCCAAAGGCTTCTTGATATGACCAAAATCAATGGAAGTACCAACCTTGGATCCAGCTATATAACCACCGCATGATCCAAATGATTTTGTAAAAGTTCCCATCATTATATCCACATCTGCCGTGTCAACCCCTAATAATTCGCAGACACCTCTTCCCGTTTTTCCAACTGCTCCAATGCTGTGAGCCTCATCCAGGTAAACATATGCCTGCAACAAGTAGAAAACAACAAGCAAACGGTGATACTTAGTTAATCTGTTTTGAAAGACTAGAGTGAAATCATTTCTAGCAAGTACAGGATCATTTAGCAGTGTAACAAATGTATTACCTTATATTTCTTACATATTGCAACAATCTCTGGAAGCTGGCAGAGTTCTCCTTCCATACTGTATATCCCCTCGACAATGACAATTATCTTCTTCCATGGTCTATGTGTCCTAGGTTGTCCCTCAGAAATTTGCTCTCTCAAAACTTTCTCCAAGTGAGAAGGAGCTGAAAGAAAGATGGAAAATGGATTTGTACGAATAAAGAGAGCTTTTCAGGGAATAATCATGCTTGAAATATGAGAGCCATATAAAACTTACTATTATGTTGGAAAACTCGAACTGTAGCTCCTGAGCCTCGGGCACCATTCACAATTGAGTTGTGGTTCAATGAATCACTAATTATCAGCCCTCCCTGCAGATAAAATGCAATTACCAAAAAGAGTTCATACATGAACTTGAGACATCTATAAGAGTATTCTAAGCTAGTAAATGACTTTATGTAGATACCTTCCCAACGAGGACAGGAAGGATGGCAGAGTTCGTCACATAACCCATGCCAGTTACCATAGCATCTGGTTTTCCAACAAAGTTTGCAACACACTCTTCCAGTTCTTTGTGCAATGTTGTAGTTCCTGGTGGAACAATTGATTTAGTCATACATACACATAGCCAGACACATATTTTAAAAGAACAATCATTACCCCCATCAACACGACTGCTACAAGTACTTGGGGAAAACTTCTTCAATGACTCAATGGCACGAGGTGTGCAGTATTCATCAGATGCAGCAAAGCCTAAATAATTATACGATCCCAAGTTGAGGCACCTACTTATCTTCGTTGTTCGTCTGCATCAAATACAATCACATACATTAACCCACCACCGAAAAAAAAAAAAAAAAAAACGAAAACTGAGAGAAAATGGTTTACAAATTAGAAAGCTATGAACTTTGTGTCTTCATAACAAAGTACTCACTTTAGGGTCTTATTGTTGTCATTAGAATAACGCTCAACAACATCAAACCAAGCATCAGGAGCACTTGATATTGGTCGTCCAAAACAATCCTACAGAGATTTATCAACCACAACGTTTTAGCTTCTCAATCTCATACAAGACACTTGCAACACAGATATGTATATACGAATATATATGGAAAGCAAGGATTTTGTAAAAAGAAACAGAAATATTAGAAAATTCTCAAATTACATCAATTACACAACAAATAATGGAATTTTGTAGATTGTATTTGTAATACCTGAATTCGATTATACAAACGACGAATGTAGAAATCCTCAAGTCCTAAACAGATCGGCGCGTAACCCTACAACAATCAAAATTACATTTTTAAAATAAAACAAACAAAGCTAATCCGTACAAAGATAGAGAGAGGAAATGAAAGAAACGCATAAAGAGCAGAGAGAGATATGGGGGACCTGGAGATCTCCAGACTGCCACCAATCAATGATTTTTCTGAAGAAGTCTCGCAATTGGCCGAAGGCAAAGAGCAAGCCGTAGCTGAAGTAGGTGCTCAACGCGGTCAAATACGGAATGGTTATCATCTTCGACCTCTGAAATCCCCGAAGCTCAGCTGAAAGCTGGAGCTCGCCAACAATTGCTGCCTTATCTGGAATGGGTTGAATTGGATCCCAACCCACCTCTTTCCAGCGCTTTTATTTTCTGGGTTTTCGGTTTGAATGCTGACTTGACTTCCGTTATTGTTTCATTTCAGGAATTCAAGTTCAGATTGGATTTTTGTTCATCGTTGGCATTGTGGAATTTGCGTGGCTATAGTCACAGTGACAGCCTAATAGCATCCAAAAGTGGGCTAAGATGAGAGGAAAGAGAGAGGCCCAAATGAACAGCCCAATATTTCAATTTTTTTTTTTCGGACAAGTGGCTGGTGAAGAAAATCTAATAGGCTGCTACTGTTTGTTTTGTGAGGTAAAAAGAAGAAAACAAGCATTTATCCCTGCACTCGATGCTCGGAGTTCAATTTTCTACTTTTAAATATTCTTTGTATTAAGAAAAGTAATGATAAATAAAAAGAATGCATAACTAATGTCATATATGAGCTGCCATCTGTTTGGATGATATGTGTTGTATAATGTATGTTTTGTTAGCTCTCACACATAGAAGGTCTGCAAAGTCTATCATTTCATGAAGAAAATATATATAACCCTTTTAGAATTGAATTATTAAAAGAAAAATGAGGCCCTCCCTTTGAAGTGGGGATCGGGGTAGTTGCACTTCCTATCATGACGGAGAGCCAGTCGTGAGTTGAACTCTTGTCGTGGATGTGACACATAAGCACGATCTGTGCACGTAATCGAATTTGAATTTTGAATGTATTAAGTAACACCAATGACCTTGCTTAAAGTAGCTGAGCATATAATAAAAGGGTTTGTCACATTTTTACTATTACTGACCTAAAAAGAAGATTAATGTTCTACTGTCAGATCAAACATATATTATATACATGTATATAAGTATTCTGAACAGCTGCACATTGGAATGACATGCAGATAGAAATGTACCTCTACAGTGTTAACCCAGACCACATCAGCAGAGCTTAATTGCATACACATGGAAGAGATGAAGGTCTAGCATGAAAGGTAAGAGCCAGTCAGACTAGCCTAAAGACAACTTGCCTAGCTAGAAACCCAGAAACCATACAGCTCCAAGCTTGAACATATCTTTAATTATATCAAACTTAAATTATCAGTATTTCTTTGATTAGGCAAGTCATCCTTGGCTACCAAACATGGCTCTTAACCTTCATACCAGACTTCTCTTCCTCTGAATTACTTCTGTTTTTGCCTATGTAATCTCCAATGTTACCAAACCTCTAATTTATAGCCATTTTGAAAAGTGAACAATAGATTTTCAAATTGTCACCTGTTGAGGTTCCCAGGATATGGAATATATTCCCTCCAATTAGAGAGCACCAAATTGTATCCATTTGATCTTCATGGGCTGCAATTAGAGCTGGTTTTGAGGTGTTGGCTCTGCATGGATAAGTACTGAGTTTCAAGATTGATGAGTCAAAAGGTGCAAAAGCTCTGCAGATTAGAATATATTGAAGCAACTTGCAACTAATCTCTTCAGCACTGTTCATTTGACCTTTCACTTTTTTTTTTGGTCTGAACCATGAGGTGGTCCTGGATGGGCCCCAACTATGGGTGACATCTTTAAGCCTTAACCACAACCCAGACTAATCCCCACTCACACCGGGTCGGCCCGTAAGGGGTAAAGTGTTGGCCAAAGTGGTGACTCCGTACGAGAGATTTGACCTTTCACTTTCAGTA